ATCTAAAAGAAGCCAGGCACAGATAAATTCTTTATGAACATTTTCTCATAAAATTTGCATAACAGCCCAAGAAGTAGGTTTAATTAGGAGCATTTTTCAGATTAGAAAATCGAGGTCCAAAAAGTTGAGCAGAGTTTGGTAGCCGGTCTAAGTCCAATGAGATGGAAGATAAATATCCTTGGCAATCCAACCCAGGCTTGCATTTGTGGGATAATTCCTCCACTTCCAAGTGTGGCTACTTTGAAAGAAGCAACACTCATCTGAGGGTATAAATATGGCATTGAAAGTGTCTGGTACAGATGCAGTGGAGGATTCAACAATTTAGCTGTTGAATTAATGCAAAACATCGCACAGCATTTCCATACATCCTTACACATGGTTGTGTTCAGATACATAGTTTCAAATCTACACATACACACATTGAAAGGGGGATTTAGGAACCATATGGAAGGGGGTAAAAAAGACTGATTCAAAGCCTTGCCAAGTTTATAATTTTAGAATTGGGAAGGTAATTCAACTGCAGTAGTCAGCGTTCTCCGAGAAAAACAAAAGAAATGGAATACAGATAAACATATATAACAGAGATTTATTATGGGAATCGGCTCCCGTGGTTTTGGAGGCTGAGAAGTCCTGGGATCTGCATCTGCAAGCTGGAGACCCAGGATAGCAAGCGGTGTCATTCAGTTCAAGCATGAAGGCCTGAGAATTTGGAGGCTGTGAGTTAAGTCCCAGTCTAAGCCTGAGAGCCCAAAAACCTGGAACAGTGATGACTGAAGACAGGAGAAGACGGATGATTCAGCTCAAGTAGGAAGAGTGAATGGCTCCAATTTTTCATTCTATTCAGGCCCTCCGAGGAATCGCTGATGCCCACCACATTGGGGAGGGCCATCTGCTTCATGCAGTTCACTTATTCAAATGCTGATCTCCTTTGGAAGCATCCTCACAGACACACTCAGAAGCAGTGTTTTACCAGCTCTCTGGGCATCCTTTCGCCCAGTCGAATTGACATAGAAAATTAATCATTACATATTTGCTTAGTAAACTTTAAAACATTCCCATAAATTACCGGACAGCTCCTTTTCCCCAGGGTAGATCTTGAATCTAAGAGCAGATGACCTCTACCAGAGGAATATTTGAGAATGACTTAAAACTTTTTCTGAAATCTGGTGAATCATAATGAAATGGCTCCAGCCAGTCATGCTGTCATGCAATGGTTCCATTTCCTGCCTTGTTCATCCCTGGCTCAGCTCTGGAACACTGGCATTTATCTCACCAATGTCCACATGACTTAGTGTCTCAGGGAATTTGGACACATGGATCATCTATCTATTGCACTCTAGTTCATGAATGGCTACAGTAATTCATGAATGACACATATACAACTGATCTGTAAAGAACTCTTTCGGCACCTTGAAAGAAGCCCCATCAAGGAACAGAAGCATACTCTACCATGGTGTGACCTTCTTTAGGAAGTACAGCGTCACACTGACAAGCACAGATTCCAGAACCAGAATGCCTGCATTCATTCAAAAGCTAGTGAATGACTGAGTGAATGAACAGTTGTGTATTACGCTGAACAATATCTTTACTACTACTATTCTCCTTCTCCTCCTTTTCATTTTGCTGCGTTTGCTACTGTTATTTGTATCAAAGTTATATGCAAATAGTTCAAAGAGCCAATCGTTTTGCAAGTTTTGTTACAACAATCCCTATCACTTTCTGTTACAAACACATTTTGTCACAATAGCATTAATCCTATCACTTTCTCCCCCATTTATCCTCTATCCACTCATCTCTTCCAGGTTATAATTTTGGTATCTAACTCCTTATCTCTAAATGACAGACTTCTAATGACTCCTTCACTTTCTAACTTCAGGCTCTCCCTGGAGACTGGACTTCCTACAAGGGAAGATAAAGATTTAGCCATCTTTCTCTAATCCCAGGAGACTCAGTCATCCTTCCCATTTCCCCAGTTTCTCAATGGAGTATCATTGGGTTTTTGGTTAGATTTTCAGGGTTTAGGTGATAGGACTAGGTATTATATCCAGGGTTGACCCATTTAGTAAGCTGTACTCTATGCAGATGTTGTCCTGTGCAACATTTTCCTTCCCTAAAATTAATGATGTTATTTTTACTGAGTTTTTTCCCCCGAACCTCTCATAACTCCACTTCAGATTCTTTACCAGCTAGCTAAATAAATCTCTCAAGGCCAGGTGCATCAGGAATTCTATCAGTTCACTTTTCCTGAAGAAGTCTCTCCCAGGGTCTCTGATCCACACTAATCAGAACTGGTCATGGCATACATGTGAGGCACAACTGACACCCCTTCAGCATCATCCTGGAGACTTCCTATGCCTACCTGATTTGCTGGAGTTCCAGCTTTCTGTATTCCATTTCTTTGTCCTCTTTGATTCATTCATTCATTTTGGAGTCCATCTCATTTTCCTAGTACTTGAGAAAAGGTATATGGGAGGACCGCTTTTTGAAACCTGGAACTGGGAAAAATGTATACCCTCACACATGGTTGAGTAGCAGGTCTGCACTGCCTTTGAGCATTTAAGAAACTCAAAACTGGCTGGGTGCTGTGGCTCACACCTGTAATCCTAGCACTTTGAGAGGTCAAGGTGGGTGGATTGCTTGAGCTCAGCAGTTTGAGACCACCTTGGGCAACGTGCTGAAAACCTGTTTTTACAAAAAAAATACCTCCCAAAATTGGTCAGGGATGGTGGTGTGCACTTGTGGTCCCAGCTACTTAGGAGGGCAAGGTGGGAGGATCACTTGAGCCCAGGAGGCTGAGGCTGCAGTGAGCCACGATCGTACCAGTGCACCCCAGCCTGAATGACAGCAAAACCCTGTCTCAAACAGAAAACAAAAACAGAAACAAAAAAAATTTGAAACTATCCTGATTCTTCAGCCTCTATGACCTGTGGCTCTTCTCTGGAAGCCGATCAGCTCTGACATTTGTTTTGGTATGTGTCTGTTTCTAGCCATTACTCTGTGCCCTTGGTAGGCTCTCTCAATATGGAAAATCATGTATTTCAGGTCTGGGAGATGGTTCTTTAATCGTTTCATTGATGATTTCTTCCTTTATGTTTTGTCTTTATTATTTCTTGCATTGAAATCTGTAGATTCTTTAACTTTGTTATGTTTTCTCTCATATTTTTTCTTTGCCTTTTTACTCTACTTTATAGAAAAGTATAAAGATTTTATCTTCCAACATATATTTTGAATTCTTTAAATTTCTGCTGTTACAATTTTGATTTATAAGAGCTCTGATGTTTGTTCCCTGAATTTAAAAAAAACCCTGCTATTTCGTGTTTCACACATGCAAAATTCTTCTTTTATCCTCTGAAAATACTGATCAGTTATTCTGATGTTTCCAGAGTCACTGCTTAACCTAAGCTTTTTTTTTTTTTTTTTTCCCATTTTGTTGTTTGGATCTTGATGTTCAAGTTAGATGATTTCCTTGGATGTCTGATAATCCCATGCTGTCATTAACTTAATTGGGAGCTGATAATGAATGAATGGCGCTTGTTTACTATAACCTATACTCTAAGGTGTCCTGGAAAACCTTTGCTGGCACAATCTCTTTCCTTTGGGCTCAGTCACATTTCCATTGAAATCACTTGAGTTCCCTGCGTAGCCGATGAAGGCATAAAGGCACCATTCTCTCAGTTGTGTGTGGGGGGGAGGGTGCTGTCATTTCAGTATGTAGTACATATGTGTTCAGATAATCTTGCCATTGTTAGTACAGTATCCCAACCCAGGCAGGCTTGATGTCACTTAGCCCAGACACTCTCCATTTTACCCTCATTAGCAGACTCACCTTTAGTTTTCTCTTTTGGGTAAGGAAGCGGGCAACCGCCCAGCTCTGTGGAGTTGGGAAACAGGTCTGTGTTTCTCAATACTGCTTAAGAAGTTTTCAACAATTCACCTTATTATAGCCTCTTTTCACCAACTGCCCCCATCCCATAGATAACCAGGTGCTGTCAATTCCTGAGCTTTGGGGGAATTCTTTAGTATCTATTAGTTCTTGACACTCTCAGCAGCAACATTAAATTCAGTTTCTGGTATCCTAAGTCATCGATCACTTTACATTTTTCTTTCCACCCTTCCCCACTGTTTTCACTGAGGCCCCCTTCCAGTGTTCCCTATCTTCATAACTTTATCACTTTTAAAATATTCCTTACTGTCATTTAATGGAGTTTAAGAAGGGTAAAACGTAGACATATGTGCTTAATCTGTCATCTTTACCTAGAAGTTCAAGTCCTCATCTTTTCCAAATCTTCCAAAATTAGTTAAGTTACAAGGAGATCAACTAAGCACAGTGCAAGACCATGGGTAAACCAATTTGGAGCCCCTCACACCAGCTGCCTCTTCTGGGGTCAGTGAGAAGAGTTATGAATGACACCATCACTTTCCAAAGCCTTTCATTGAGTTCCAGCTTCTGCAGACAAAGTCACTTTGCTCACCTGTGTAGGACACGGCACTGCTGTGCATAGCAGGGAGAAGCAAGGTCCCTGAGGAGGCTGCAGAAACTCAGAGCTTTTATGCAAAGCCCAGAGCCAGCACTGAGGCTTCCCAAGAGAAAGAAATCCTCCACAATGCACAGCACTGATTTCTAAGTACGGAAAAAAAGAGACTAGAATCCCTCACACTCCCAACTCACTAGTATAATAATGCTACTATAACTTTTCTGACTTGAGACAAGGGGGACAGAATGTTCCAGCTTCCCCAGGCATACTGGAGCAGAGAAGATAAGGCCAGCCACCAGTTACGTCTCTAAGCAGTAGTGTATGGGTACAGGATGGGCGGTGTACGTGCTGGTTGTAAAGAACATAAAAAAAATAGGAAGAAAAGTGTTCTGTTTTTTTCCCCCGATGCACTACCACTTTTAAACCATGTCAAAGACAAAATTCTCCCCCTACTACCGCAGACTGCTCATGACACCCTAGCCTATGGTGCCTCTGTCCCAGGCATCCCGCCAGCAGCCCAGTTACCTGTGGATGATGTGGTACCTCTGAAGATACTCCAGAGCCAGTGCTAGCTCACAGATGTAGAGTTTCACAGTCCCCTCTGTGAAATGCACATTCTGCTGCAGATGGTAGCGCAGGTCTCCTCCCAGGAGCAGGTCCACCACCATGAACATGTCCTCCTCGTCCTGGAAGGAGTACCTAGGAGCACAGAGGGACAGAGAACATTAGGGGTGGAGGCACCTTCAGCACCCTCAAGACCAATGCCCCCATTTTACAGAAGAGCAAACTGAGGCTCAGAGACAGGCACTGAGTTGCCTGAGTCATGGTGCTATGGGAGTGCAGGGGAAGGGGCAAAGGCTTTTAATTCTCAGGCTGCCTCCACATTTGTTGGGGTTTCCTCACTTCTTACATAGCAAAGGCAAGCAGGAGTACCCAGCATTAGTTCCCAGGCTCTGGCAGACAGATGATAGTTTAACTACGACAGGACTCCAGCATGTTTCTTCATCTGTTTTTAGCAGGTGCTTTAATGAGATGGTGTCAGTTGTTTGCAGGAGCTAGCCTCCAAAGACACACTCCCCTCCCAAACACTCCCTCCATTCCCTGCACATGCATGCTGCTCCCCACATGGAGCTTGTTTCTGCAGCTCTTGAACGCAGTGGTGTTATGGGACATCCAAGTCTAGGCCTTAAGGGAACGGGCAGTTTCTAATTCTTGCCTCTTGGAACCCAGCCAGATCCAAGCCACATGAAGAGGACAAAAGAAGGAAAACCGAATCCCCAGCTGAGTTCCCAGTGACAGCCAGAGCCACTGCCCGCCACACAAGTCAGCCGCCTTGAGCATTTTGATATTCCACTGCAGCCCCAGACAGCATGTGGAGCAGAAGAACAGTCCAGCTGAGCCCAGTTACCCCACAAAACATGAGATGATTAAATGGTGGTGTTTTTACACCATTAAGTTTCAGGGTGGTATTTTGTTTTGTTTTTGAAACAGTAGAAAATTGATACAGTACCAAATTCATTTTTAAAAAATGCACTTGGGCTTTCTAAGGACTGAAGAGCCAACATATAGAATCTGAGACTGTTGTTAAACAATTGTAGGATAGCATCACGTCACAAAATGTTGTCAAGTTCCTTGTAGATTCATGGGGTATAATAATGGAATCATGTAACATAATCACAGAATTGCAGAATATAATCATGGAAGCTTAGATCTGTGTCTTAGATCCTTAGATATTAGTCCGAATCAGTTAGGTCCTTCCCCTCACTTAACAGAACAGGAAACTGAGGCCCAGAGGGAAGAAGGGACTTGGTGAGTCAGTGTAGGTATGGGGACAAGAACCCAAATCCCCTGGCTCTCACTCGCTGCAGTGCCCTGATGACTATACACTGTTGGGATGTTGCTGTAATGCACCCCCACTGTGTTCCAGTATCCCGGGTGTGCAGCCCTGGGGAGGGAGCCTGATGTATGATTTGGTCCCAGGACAGGCAACAGAACTGTATGCTTACAGGACAGCGAATTCCAGGGTTGGAAGGACCTCTAATCCTCTTCAGTTCCTGTTGCAGAGATTGGGGTCCAGGCGAGAGGAGATGGCTGGACACAAGTCGTATCTATCCTCTTTGTGTGTCTTACCCATTGTTTATAATCGTTCAGAAATTAAGGCAAGGAAGGGGGCTATTTATTGTGTCCCCAGATCATGAATTTACCAGGTGCTTACGGAACACCTACTGTCTGATAGGCACTGGGTTATGTGCTGGGGACACTGGGACAAAGAAACTGTCTTTGCCCTGGAGGAGTGCACAGTGCCCTGGGAGGGGCCAGGCAGACAGTCACTGACAATGCACGGGTGGGCATTCTAGGAGTCTTTCCAGGGTGCGGGGGAGTGTGGGAAGGGAGGAGGCCAGTGCTCCAGGAGGCGAAGGTGGGCAGGAGGAATTGGGAAAGTCATTGCCCATAAGGGGTTTACCGGGTCAGGAACACACAGGCTGTGTGACTCAGACAGAGAGGGAAACAGCATGACCCATGGCGGGAGGCTGGATCATGGCCTAGTACCCACAACCTGCACAAACAGCAGACGGCCACCTTTGGGAGTCACCGTGGTGACATGGATGAGCAGGAGTGGAGTAAGATACAGTCCCCTGCTCCTCATGGAATTAGAGACCGGAACAAACCTCAGAGATGGAATGAAGTGTGTACGGTCACAGACTCACAGGAAGTGCTGCGAGGGTGACGGGGGCAGGGCTGAAGCTGCTGTCTTTCTCCTAGGCTGTTCTGTGCTGAGAGGCCCTTCTGCCTTTCTGGGCAGAGGCACCCAGAGTACCCAGGGGCAGCCCAAAGCCTCACTGCTGCCCAGACGTTCCCAATATTTCTGTCATAATTTCAAGGCACTATTTCTAGAAGTTTCAGTGAGAATATTTTTGTTTGCCCAGAAAGCTTTTATTACTGTTGATATTATTAATTATTATTCTCACTCTCACTCTCGGCTTCCCAAAGTGCTGGGATTATAGGCATGTGTCACTGAGCCCGGCCACCAGCTGGACTTTAGATCCGTTTCAGGGCCAGTATAACCTTCATTCATGCTCCTCCCCCTCAACAAAGAGGAGCGTGTAAGTAACACAGTCTCGCTGGGAAGCACAGGACTACCTTGTTTTACTGTACTTCACTTTCTTACAAATTAAAGGTTTGTGGCAACCCTGCCTCCAGTAAGTCTATCAGTGTCAATTTTCCAATAGTGCCTGCTCAATTTGTATCTCTGTGTCACATTTTGGTAATTCTTGCTATATTTCAAACATTATTATATCTGCTATAGTGATTGATGATAAATGGTCTTTGATGTCACTATTACAATTGTTTTGAAGCACTGCAAATGGCATCCATATAGCACCCAAAGCTTCAAGGATAAATGTTGGATGTGTTCTCATGCTCCACTGACCAGTAGTTTCCCATCTCTCACTTTCTCCTTGGGCCTTTCTATTCCCTGAGGCACAACGACATTGAAATTAGGCCAGTTAATAACTCTACAAAGGCCTCTAAGTGTTCAAGTGAATGGAAGAATCACACATCTCTCACTTTACATCAAATATTAGAAATGATTAAGCCTAATGAGAAAGACATGCCAAATGCCAAGATAGGCTGAAAGCTAGACTCTTAATGCCATAAAGTTAGCCAAGTTATAAATGCAAAGGAAATGTTATTGAAGGAAATAAAAATTGCTATTCCAATGTACGCATGTAAGACATGAAAGCCAAACAGCCTTATTGCTGATATGGAGGAAATTTTAGTGGTCTAGATAGAAGATCAAATCAGCTACAACATTCCCTTAAGCCAAATCCTAATCCAGAGCAAGGCCTTAACTCTCTTCAATTCTGTAAAGGCTGAGAGAGGTGAGGGAGTTGCAGAAAAAGAGCTGGAAGCTAGCAAAGGTTGGTTCATGAGGTTTAAGAAAAGAAGCCATCTCCAGGACATAAAAGCACAAGGTGAAGCAGCAGGTGTTGATGGAGAAGCTGCAGCAAGTTACCCAGATGATTTAGCTCAGATCATTGGTGAAGGTGAATACACCAAACAGGAGATTTGCAAAGTAGAAAAAAAATAGCAAATAGCTTTATATTGGAAGTAGATGCCATTTAGGACTTTCATAGCTGGAGAGGAGAAGTCAATGCCTGGCTTCAAAGGTTCAAAGGCAGGCTCTCTTGTTAGGGAGGCTCTCTTGTTTCAGCAGCTGGTCACTTCCAGTTGAAGTCAATGCTCATTTACCATTTTGAAAATACCAGGGCCCTTAAGAATTACGCTAAATCTATTCTGCCTGTGCTCTGTAAGTAGAATAAAAAACCCCAGATGACAGCACACCAGTTTACAGCAAAATTTACCAAATATTTTCAGCCCAATGTTGAGACCTACTTCTCGAAAAAAAAAATTCCTTTCAAAATATTACCACCGTTAGTCACCCAAGAGCTCAGACAGAGATGTACAAGATTAATGTTGTTTTCATGATAAAACAACATCCATCCTGCAGCTAATGGATGAAGGAGTAACTTTGACCTTTGAGACTCATTATTTAAGAAATACATTTTGTAAGACTATAACTGCCATAGATAGTGATTCCTTTGATGGATCAGGGTAAAGTAAATTGAAAATCTTCTGGAAAGGATTCACCATTCTAGATGTCATTAAGAACATTCGTGATTCATGAGAAAAGGTCAAAATACTAACATTAACAGGAGTTTGGAAGAAGTGGATTCTAACCCTCATGGATGAAGTCGTGGGTTCGAGACTTCAGTGGAGGAAGGCACTGCAGATATGGTAAAAGTAGCAGAAGAACTAGAATCAGAAGTAGAAACTGAAAATGTGACTGAACTGCTGCTATCTCATGATAAAATGTTAAAAGATGAGGAGCTGCTTCTCCTATGGATAAGTGAAGAAACTAGCTTCTTGAGATGGAATCTGCTCCTGATAAAGGTGCTGTACACATTGTTAAAATGACACAAGAGGTTTAGAATATTACATAAACTTAGTTGATAAAGGGGCTGTAGGATTTGAGAGGACTGTCTCCACTTTTGAAAGAAGTTCTACTGTGTACAAAATGCAAACAAACAGCACCACTGGCTACAGAGAAATATTTCATGAAGTGAAGAGTTCATCACTGTGGCAAGCTTCATTGTTGTCTTATTTTAAGAAATTTTCAGTCACCCCAACCCTCAGCAACCACCACCCTGATCAGTAAGCAGCCATCAACATTGAGGAAAGACCCTCCACCAGCAAAAAGACTGTGATTTGTTGAAGGAAGACTCAGATGAGTGTTAGCATTGTACCTATCAAGTATTTTCAGATGAAGCTATGTATACTTGTTAGACATAATGCTGTTGCACACTGAATAGAGTACAGTATCGTATAAACATAACTTTTATAGGCACTAGGAAACAAAAAAGAATGTTAATAAGACTTGACTGGGGAGAGAACCTGCAAAGAGGGAAGCAGGGCTGGGAGCTAAATGCAAAAAGAGGCACTGTTGGAGGTACTGGCTCCCACCTCGTCAGAAGAAAGACCTATTCCTGAACTTCATATTTACATGAGCAATGACTGTTCTTTTTTAAAGTTAAGTTACTTTACTTTGAGTTTCTGTGACTTGGAACTGAGTTACCTGATACAAATTTTCATGTATTTGCTACTGGATAGAAGAATATAGATGCCCCAAAAGAAACCAC